AAAATCTTTAAGAATAAAAATATTTAGGTGTACGATTTTTTTAAATTTTAGCATAACTTCTATCATAGATGTGTTCGCAACGAAATGTTACAGCAGACTGAGCTGCAGTCGATGCGTACTCAGACACGTTTACACGTGTCTCGCGTTTGGTTTTTAATAGTCTTAATTATTCTACTTACCCCTATAGTCTACTGACCCCAGTCTCCTCTATTTAGTTTTGACAATAAAGTTAAAGGCACTCCAATTAAAAAGTGACGGCGTCAAAGCGGTCAAATCTGTGCCATTATCTAATATTGGACAGGTCTAATTTAGACACGCTTCAATTCGTGCCAATGACATAGATAAATCTTCGTAGTTGAGGGGTGTTGTTCCAATAATTTTCCGTAAATAAGTTTTTGCAGATTTCATAGCGACTTTCCATAGACCACCCATGGTGAATGATGCGGTATGAAAGTCCACTGGATCGAGTTTTTTGTTAGAAAGTCTGATATTTTTGTATGATGCTCTGGAGTTTGTAATAGGTCAGCGACTTCTCGTAATTTATTTTGTGCCCCCCCCCCCCCTATGAAATTTCTTGCATTATTTGAATAAATATTCGCATATTTGCTCCGTCTTGCTATAAATCTCTGCAACGTCCTTATAAATGTTGATGTATTTAAATCTACGACTAATTCCAAATGTACCACACGTATAACAAAGCAGACAAAAATACACATATAAGCTTTGTCAGCATTTTATTCTTTGAAACCTTTATGATAAATGGCTCGCCATAATCGATTCTGACCGTTAAAAACGACTGACTAGCCGTAATACGTGCCGCAGACAAAACACTCATTTGTTGATTTAATGACGGAGGTCGTAAGCAAAAAAAAATTGTACACTTTCGCTAAAACATCTTTTACATCTCGCCTGTAGTGGCCAAAATTGCGTTCGTATCGACGTTAATAATGCTTGAGGACCGGTATGTAAATACTTGTAATGTTCATGTAGAATAATTAATCGCGTTAATGATCGTTTCGCGATTAGAATAATCGGATATTTTTGCACATAAGGAATTGGTGCGTTAGGTAGTCGATCTCCTACTCGCGTATCAAGTTATGCTCATGCAAAAGGGGAAATAATCAGCGCAATCTCGTTTTGTTCATTTGATTACGTAATCTTAAGCTCCCGATATCATCAGCAAATTCGTGATGCTAGCGAAATTAAAACCATCATTGCACGCTCTAATTCCGCAATCCACCATTAACGGCCCTGCAATCTTCGACTCAAAATGCAACGTGTTTTCCTTCAACCTTAAGCAATATGCGATTACTCGTTTCAACTTTAAGAGAGAGGAAAATTTTAAGAACAACTCGTTTTCATTTAGCTGGCAATGGAAAACCTTTATTGTACTTCATTTCTCGAGAACATCTTTATTGAGGAGAATGTCCTCATAATTAGATGGCTAATCTTCTGTTTTCAGCCACTTTGGCCCAATCCACCAAAGTTGACAAAATTTTAGTTGATCAGAACGCATTCATTTTGATATAATATTTGCAGGATTCTCCTTTAAGCATCTCATACAATGAATTGCACTCATCTTGCTGGTTCACCCTTTATCCAGGCCAAAGTGATCATTCAATCGTTCCATAAATAGGTTGAAACTGATGGAATTGTTAGTGTTAGAATCACTTGTTGATACAACTTAGCTAACAAAAGTGCTGCACATAGTTCGATTTGCGACAGTCAGTTATTCTTCAAAGGTACCACTTTTAATTTCGCATATAGTAGATTGATAGTCGCTTCTCCGCATTTATTTACAGTTTTAACATACATACAAGCGTCATAAATCATCTCCGATGTGTCGCAGAAGCCATGCAGCTCCGCAGAAATATATCTACTGTTAAAGGCATACCATGAAATTGAGAGTTCCGAAATGTACTGAAGTTGGAAAATATATTTACGAAAATATATTTGTAGCGGATGCCTACATATAATGAGTTAGTTTAATGATTCGTATACAATTTCATAAGTAATAAATGGTCTGCGTATGCCAAGATCTAGCGTGAGAATTTTTTGTCTGTACATCTTGACCTGTGTATCATTGACAGCATATAGAACGAGTGACGTTGACAAAACTGTTTTTCTTGATTTTTGACGATGGTAGAAGCGAGACGTCCGCGCCTGTATCGACAAAGAAAGTCCAACCTATTATTCTGTCAGTTACGTGGAGCCGTGGGGATAGTTCGAGACCGTCGTTAGTGGCTCCTATTGACGGCGGCCTTATTCGTTTCCCTGAATAGCCTTTGTCTTTATATTGCAAGGTGATTCGCACTTGCGTGCTTGATCACCGAATCTGCGATGGTAATAAGACTGACCTAAGTCTTGTGTCGTGTTGTTGCTTGCATTGCCTGAACATCGCGTGCGATTTCTGCTGCGAGATCTTGATCGAGATCTTGAGTGAGGTTGTTTGTCGGGTTTGTCCATCCGCGTTAGCAACATAGTTACTTGCTTAATTAATTGTTGGATCTCATCCTGGGAACGGCGTCGCTTGTACTGCATGGATGTCTACTGGTGAAGAGTGTTCGTGAAACTTGTCCGCGCATTCAGCTAACTTATTTAGACTAATATTCTCGAAAATCAGAAGCATTTCTTGAATGCTGGAAGGCGTGATTGCCAGAGGGTACGTAGTAAATCTTCAGGGACTTTTTCTTTAGCAAGAGACTTCATAACAAGAGTGTTCGCATTTGTTTCTCTTGCGAATCTGTAAATCTAACTATTAAGGTTTCTTTAATTGTCTTGTACTTATCATTTTCCGGTGGGTTATCCAAGATGTCTGATATGGTCGTCGGGATGTCTTCGTCGAGATGACGTACAATCGCGTAGTATTTGGCTTCGTCCGATTTTATTCAGTAGGCGAAGAACTCGGATTCGAGCAATGAGAACCACGGCTTTGGGCGATTCTTCCAGAAGTTGGCTAATCGGACGAGTCTGAACTCTGCGCCAAACTCTTCGCGTCGAGGCGTCGTCGGTGGTACTTGATGTTGTACGCTTGACCAATCCCATTGATGCATTAACGAGGAGACTTGATTGCAGCGTCCTCGATAACGACATGTTAGCACGTGTCAGTAACAATGCACGATTGCGTCACTCACATTGCGACCTATTGATCACGTATCGGATCACGAATTCAGATCACGTCGGAAGGTCACCAATTATGTAGCGGATGGCTACATATAATGAGTTAGGTTAATGATTCGTACACGATTTCATAAGTAATAAAATTTATTTGATATCACATATAATATAATATCACGAAAATATAACGATGTCATTACTAGAACAAATAATGATATGAATTCGAGAAAGAATAATGATAAGATAAAGTGTATCTAGATGGGTAATTGAGTATAGTATTGTGAGAGCGCGCCATCTGGTCGCGAAGTATGTAATAACAGAGTGTAGAGCATGAAGTATACCAAAAAGAGTGTGAATGTGTAAGTGTAAGTGTGAATGTATCTCTGCATATTCATTTTGATTGCAGCTCTGACGGAATCGGGTTGTCCCATCCAATTTTTAATCGCCACAGATCTTGAAGGAAAAGTTTATACTGAACAACGATTGGTTCAATCAAACCCAACGGGTCAAAAATTTGTGAGATAACTGACAATATGGTTCGTTATTTTCGTTATTTTAGATGAATGACTCCTCAAATCGATTCTGTATTAAATAAAAGGTGTCTAACTTCATATTTCAAATAAGGCCTAACGTGTTAACCTCCTAGTCGAAGTTCACTGATAGGTTCCTTATTAGGTGATTATCGTTGATTATCGATTCTTCGTTTGCATTCCATTTATATAATTCAAAATCCACCAGCGCGTAGGATCTTCGTGATATCTTTTTTCAATATCTTTAATTGTGATAAGTTTTTCGCCCGCCTGTCATCAGACATAAAAGTCCTGCATGATCATCTCGCTCGCATTCGAAAACACAATTTAATGTTCTAATGCCGTTGATGTAAACAGTTTATAGCGAGGAATGGTGCACTTGCTAAACCATATGTCACAGTGTTCAAGCAAAACGTCTGTATTTGTCCGGAAGTAGTCCGCTATAAAATTCGTTGTAAATTCCTGTGATCTTTGTGTAATAAGACTTGCCGATATATTTTATTACAATAATATCAGCCGTTACCACGTATATATTGGGTTGAGTAAAAAGTCATTGCGTATTTTTTGTATGTTTTTCAAAGTCATTTATTTATATAAAGAACAAAGATCAATCAATGACATATTTTCCGTTTTGTTCGATGACCTTTTGCCATCTTTCGGTGAGCTTCATAATTCCCCGTTCGTAGAAGGACCTATCTTTATTGGCGAAAAACTTAACAAGGTGCTGATTTACCGCCTCATCTGAGTTTAACGTTATTCCACGCAAGGAGTTTTGAAGAGAGCGAAATAAGTGGAAGTCTGACGGCGCAAGGTCAGGCGAGTATGCTGGGTGGGGCAACACATCCCATCCAATCTCCAATAATTTTTGACGGGTCGCCAAAGATGTGTGTGGTCTCGCGTTGTCGTGATGGAACACAACTCCTTTACGATTGAGCTCCGGACGTTTCTGGATGACAGATTCGTTCAAACTGTCCAATTGCCGACAGTACACATCCGAATTGATTGTTCGGTTCCTTGGTAGGAGCTCAAAAAACACCACACCCTTCGAATCCCACCACTGAGAGCATAACCTTCCTCTGATGAAGTTCTGCTTTTGAAGTCGTTTGAGGCGAATCACCGCGTCGAGACCAAGACTGTTTGCGTTTCACATTGTTGTAAACAATCCACTTCTCATCACCAGTTATCATTCGCTTCAAAAAAGGATCGTTTTCTTCACGTTTCATGATCACAGATGTTTATACGCGCCGTCAAATGAACTTCTTTGAGTTCATGAGGAACCCAAATATCGAGCTTGCTTACGTATCCCAGCTTCTTTAGGTGGACGTGAACACTTTTTTGATTGATCTTCAATATTTATGCAATCTCTCGTGTCGTGTAACGTGAGTTTGACTTGATAAATGCCTCCATTTTGTCGTCGTCAACCTCGGTGGGCCTTCCTGACCGAGGAGCATCTTTGAGATTAAAATCACCAGCGCGGAATTTCTTGAACCAGTTTTGGCACTGACGTTCTTTTAGGGCATCGACACCGTAAACTTTACGCAATTTTTCACAAGCTTGACGCGCGTTCTTCCCTTTACGGAAGTAAAACAGTAAAATATTGCGAAAATGCACAGTTTGGTCTTCCATCTTCAACTTGTTGTAAAAATCTCCAAAACTCAACCAAATCGCTCAATTTTTTTAGAATGAAGCTTAAACCGTCACCTGTTAAACGACATATGACAAACATAACATGTGTGAATGACTCTAGTACTGTCAAAACTGAACTAATGCCATCTGTTGCAAAAATACGCAATAACTTATTACTCAACCCAATATGTTGCCGTACAATAATGTTGAATAAAGAATTCTGAATAGTTGGTCCCATTGATTAGTATGTCGTTGAGAGACTTGCCTGATGTGGTTTTAATAACGCATCGAATACTACACTTTAGTAGTAGTACTTTAGTAGTACTCGTTGATTTAATGACCGCATGATGTAGAAGATAATTTGCGTAATCATTATCGTTTTCAGGTTCCTCCACTTAACTCACATGATTTAATCGTTTATGTTTTTGCATAAAATTAATATAGGCCTCCTTTAACTTGCTATGCTTATCAAGCTTCCTCTTAACGGAACGCAAGCGATTCTCCGCGATTTCTTGAGATTTTCTGAGCGATGATATCTTCCTTCAACGGTAAATCTTCCATTTTGATCACGTTGATGGGTGGACACGAAATTGTCTTCACATAATTGCTCTTCTTTAGTATACAAGCTTTACTGACCAATCTCCTCCAATCGCCAGAATCACTCGAGTTGTTCTTGGATTTGTGTATTTAAAGATACGCAATAATGTATCGTGTTATCCTGAGTCACAGACTACAACGAGTAAAGATACCGTCGATAATCCAATCTAGCTTCGTCTCTACTAATGTCGGTTGGTTAGTGTCTAAGGAGACGTCTGCTTGATAGTCATCATATTTTGATCTTATTGTAGTCATTCTGTGGTGTACAAAAACAGTGATTCGACCAATGCCATTAATTAAATAATCCATTTTACGAGTAGTCAACTGCAATCGTTGATATAAATCTTTTGTCATACGAGTAAAATGAGATTGAGATGTGGAATCAAGCAGCGCTCGACATTCTTAATAATGATGTTTTTATTGCGTATCATGATAATTTGCTGTTGAATAAGGGTTGTACTATACCTTTAGTGACACAATGAGATGTCGTAACAGTAGTTCTAGTTTGTGACGAAGTATCGTCTACATTTTTTGCGCTATAAATTTCTTTTTCCTCGGCTTTAACGCTTGGATTTTCGTTATTATCGAAATGTAACATTGTGTTATGTCATCGTTTGCACCGCTGACAACCGAACGTACACTCACGATCGGTATGGGAACGTAAACAATTTAGACAAACCGTTAGTTCGCTTCGCGCAATTTCATGATTTGATAATTTACGAAATGATGGACATATAGCCAAGACTTTTACATAACGGGCATTGTTTTCCTACGATTGTGACGTTAAAGCTACTAATTTTTCATGCGGTTTTATATCTGGCAATGAAGTGTCCCCTTTCTTATTAGGCGATATTAATGTTTTTAAAATCGAACAACCTTTGTTTAAAAAATCAATAAATTCCACCATAGTTGATAAAGTTGTGATCTCTCACTTGAATTCTCATTTTCATTTCGTTTTAGAATCGAGTTTGGGCATAATTAAATAAATCAATAATATATCCCACGCGTTTACGAGTTGCTCAAGTTTTGTTAACGCGCAGATATGCTGCTGTATATCATCTATCAACTTTCTGAGACTAATTCCTTCGTAATTATTTGGTAAATCAAGTAATGCTTGTACATAATGATGACATATAATCCTTTTATTTTCAAACCAGGTCTTTAATAATCTTCATGCTGCATCGTAGTTTTTATTTGATAGACTTAACCACTGAAAACATTGCGCTGCGCGACCCTCCACTGTTGATTGTAAATAATAAACTTTTTGAATTTTCGAATGACTCATCTTTTGAGGCTATCCACTCAGAGCTATCCACTCATTTTTCGACGTCTCCATAAGGATTCCTGTGCAAGTGTGTGTGCCATCGATCGAAGCAAGTGATAGTCGGAAGGAGCACAGTTTGGTAAATAAGTCGCATGAGATAGTACTTCCCAACTTTTAACGTTTCCTTGACAAGTTTTGTGACGTGAGGCCGAGCATTGTCATGAAGCAAAATCACTTTATGCTATCTCGTTTCATATTCTGATCGTTTTCCGTGCAATGCTCGGTTCAAACGGATAATTTGTTCTCGGTAGAGATCCCCTGTGTCTGTTTGATCAGATTTCAACAGTTTGTAGTGACACTACACCCTTCTGATCCCACCAAATACAGAGCATTGCCTTCTTTTCGTGGATATTCCGCTTTGGCATCGATGTCGATGGTTGGCAAATGATTTTTCGGCGTTTGGAGTTATCGAAATAGATCCACTTTGCCAGGCACAATTCGGTGCAAAAATCCCTTTCTTTGTTATCTAGCAAGCAGAATTTTGCAAATGATTTTTCGCCTTTTAATGTCTCTTGGCTTCAGTTCATGTAGAACCCATTTTCCTTTCTTGTAGACCTTTCTTAAGATTTTCAAACGATCGGAAATAACAGATCAAACACAATTTAATGCTTCTGCAAATTGCTTTTGCATTTGACATGCGTCTTCATCCACCATTGCCTGCAACTCTTCGTCTTCAAATGCTCTTGGCCGTAGTTGGCTCCGGAACGCTCTTTGTCCTCCACATCAAAATCACCACTTTTAGAGCGTCGAAACCATTCTCTGCATGTTTTATCGGAAGAAGCACTATCATCATAAACTTCTACAAGCATTCGATGAGCTTCAGTTTTCTTTCATTTGAAGCAAAAGATTAACACTTCGCGCAAATAACGCTTACTTGGCTCAAATTTTAACATTTTCGATGTAGTAAAAAGCAATGTTATTGATGCAAACGTATACTTTTATATACTGAATTTTATTGACAGATAGTAAAACTAAAAAATTAAGCTTGGTTTAGACATTAGAGTTATCGACAATTCTAGCTACTCGCCGCTAGATGGACGGAACTTTCCGATTGACCTAATAATATAACTTTTATACTTATTAGCGCATTTATTTTGTACAAAAACACTTTTCAAATAATCGAGGTAACACAAAGTATTGATCTGAAACGAAACGAGGCACATGTCCGACTCGTTCGAGTGATCTCACGGATTAGGTTAGGTGACATACTTACTTATCCTAAATCCGTTTGTGTCACTGAACATTGCAGCACATGAATGCAACTGCTCTAACCTCCACCTTACCTGTGATCCAAGTGCTCTCTGAGTTATTGGAGCATGCGACGTGAACAAACCTTTAATCTAACTGCTACCTGTCTTCCTAATACAATTAGGATAATATATAGTATATCTTCGAATTTTGTACGTTCGTCGATATCTATCCTCGATTAACATCTCGATTTGAGATTGAATTTCATCGTACTCGGACAATAGTTTTTCTGTTCGTTCTAACTTAAACGGTAGCTCTAGAGCCTTAATTGATTTGTTTTGGATTTTATTCAAAAAGCTTTGAAATAACATAATTCTTACCTTCACGGAGGCTTGTTTTCTTATTAACTCTTCGACAGACATTATAGCTGATCGCGGATCATTAAACTGAACGATTATCGACGAACGGAACAATTATATGTAGATGGAGCACACGGGTTGGCTTTCTTAGAAAAATCACGAAAATACAATAATTTAACTCTGAATTTTGATAAGATGTACGTTTATACGGAACAGACTTACAATTTGCTACCGCAATGGCCGCCTGCCCTTCTCAACATTGCACCAATGCTGCTGCTTCAGATCTGGCGAATCTATGTCGATAGATCCGGTTCGAAAGACCAAAATGTTCGAGAAATATTTGATAAGCTAACGCGTGTAGTTTTATAGTAGTTAAATGTTTATTTGAACTACGAGTATGATTTTATACATAGGAACTCGCAGATCTTCACAACAACGATACGCATTACAATCGCGTCATATTTCTCTCACATATATACGCACGCACGCACGCACGCGCGCACGCACGCGTACGCACAAAACCATGTACAATAGATCGCTCGTTTTAGCTATACGGCGCTTGCTTCGCTAGAGTTCCTAACTCTCATCTTTCGAATTCAAACAGATTCAGTGCCATTTTACTCGGCACCATTTTCAAATTAACAGTTAAAGGAAAGAAAAAAACACAAATCGTTTGTAGGATATAAAATATTAAACAGATTTAATGTCTTAGATATAATATGCTATCTAAATACGTTAATAAAAGGTTGAGCGCATATTTCCAATAAAGAAAATAAAAGTATAATACACGTAAGTATATGTATAGAAATAATATATAATAAAAATGTAATATATTAAAAGTATGAATTGGTTATAACATAAATAGACAATAAGTAAACACACTATCAACTGAAGAAGTAGTAGCACGTAAAGCAGAAGATTCATGATCCGGAGGTCCCAGGTTCGAATTCCTTAAGATAAATTCCAGTAAAAACACGATAATATTAGTATAAAGTATTTACGAAAGGTCTAAATGTAGCACGGAAAGAAAGAATTTCCTATAAACGCGGAAAGAATTACCAAATTTAATTGTCAAATTTATCTGATATTTACAGCAAACAAGTTTGTATATTTGATAAATATTTTGAATTGGTTGCAAATAATTTTTGTAGCGAGTGTGAAAAAGACTAAATATTTATGACACCTGCAAATAATTTGTGATCCCTATTTACAAATGGAATTTGCCGTTATAGCATAGGATTAACAATTTTTATTCTCCGTGTAATAAGTTCAATATATGTATATCAATTTCGTATAATTTTAGTTGCGATAACATTGCGTTTATCAAGTTCGATTTGAAATGATTAGAGAAGGACGTGAACAAAAATACATGTAGTATATGACAACGTCTATCAGCCAGATATTACAACTAAAATTATTATCGGAAATAATACACATTATACCTATTAACGTATATAACGTTTAGATATCCCGTAAATACCTGATTTAAACATATAATATATTATCTTGTGTTTATTGGAATTGAATCAAGG